CGCGGAATTGTTAATCGTTTAAGTGGTGTAACCTTGGTTTTAGCCGATACGATAGTAGCTATTATTTTATTGTTATTATTTGCTATTACCCGTAAATATACGACCGCGGCCAAAGCTTGCTGGGAAGCATCACTAAACCCGTGAATTTCAATAACACTAACATGATTAGATAATCCGAGCCAACGAGGTACAGCAATTTCAGAGACTGAATGAAATTGTTTTATAAATGTACACCATCGCTTCACAAATTTGTCTGGTAATTTTTCATCTCAATCGATCTTTTTTAGCCAAAGTTCTTGCATAAATGGCTTCGCAATAATTACGATGGGTGCCAGCCATCCCAGAGGGTCAAACATTTGTGCAATAATTGATAATATACTTCTCTTTGTAAACGTATTACATTCAACTGAAAATGTTTTCCAACTGAAAATGAAACTATCGTCATTACTTTTCCATATTAGGCCTAAGGTTCGATACATCAAATTATTTTCAAAAGATCGTGAATCAGAAGTTGCAATATTTTCTTCAGGTAGCGAGCTAATTATTTCTTGTGAATTAGATGACCATTTCTTGACAAGAAAACCGCCCGCCATAAAAATCCCGTTTAATTGGTGAATTTTTTTTCTAGCATGTATTGTATCATTAGCACCCGATAAGATGTCGTCTACATAAATATCATTCAAAATAATATCGGACGCAAATGGTAAAGTTTTAGAGTGTTCTTCAGCTTACTCATGTAAACAACGCATATAGCAAGGTATGGAGCGCAAGTTACGCCATATGTAACAGTGCACAATTGATATATTTTTATTGGATCAGATGGGTTAGTTCGACATAAAATCTGTTGAAATGGAAAATGATCAGAGTGAACCTTTATGTGGCGATACATTTTCTCAATATCAGCAGCAAAAGCAACAGGATGTTGTCTCCATCGCATTAAAACATCGACAAGATCATTCTGTAGTTTGGGTCCAGGCAAAAGGTATTCATTAAGAGACATTACTGAGGTAGATTTCTGAGAGCCGTTAAAAACAACCCGTAACTTAGTGGATGTACTGCTTTCTTTTATCACTCCATGATGAGGAAGAAAGAATTGTTGGCCTACTGAAGAGATTTCTTTTGAGCATTCAATCATGTGACCAAGAGATAGATACTCTTCCATGAATCTGGAATATTGACATTGAAAATTTGGATTTTTCAGAAAATGAGATTCCATACGAAGAAACGCCTTTTCTGCCATTGCATAAGAATCACCAATATTAATTGAAGTATTTCTAAAGGGCAATTGAACTATAAATTTTCCTTTAAAATCCCTGGTATGAGTAAGTTTAAAATAATCTTCACAATCCTGCTCTTCTTTAGTCAGTAAAGGTTTTTAACAATTTGAGATTTTTCTTGATTCCAGAAGAGGTGCATTAATTCATGAAGATTGTTTTCAGGAGAACATTGAAATGAGTAAATTCTGTCTTTTGCACTTTCTGAATGGATTGATCCTGATAGTATTCAGCCAAGAGTGGTATTTTGAAGGAGTATTGAACCGTTGTTTAATCGACGAATTCCGCTTTTCATAATTTGGGAATAAATGTCAACACCTAGGATGACGTCAATTGTTGTAGATGACATAAAATGTGGATCAGCAAGTGTAATATCTTTTAATTCATTTTGAAGATCATTGCATATAACTTGTGGAGGTACGTAAGTCGTGATTTGAGGTAATACAAGTGCATTAAGTCGATATTGCATGTAAGGTTTAGTTCGAGAGCTAAGATAACAATCAACATTTCCATGCGAAATATTTGTTGCTTGTCCTCCAACACCATGAACTATTTATTTTTTCTATTTATGAATTATTTATAACCAACACCACTCTAGAACAGATTTTGAACGTCGAGGTAACTGAAGAAGTTGGCATAAAGATTCGGAAATGAAAGAAACTGTAGATTTAGTTGTTAGATGTGAGACTGCCATATGAGAGGAGTTTTGAATAACTGTTGTATGAGGTATGGAGTTATTAGAATTGTCAGATGAAGTACTTTGAGAAGTTACTGTTTGAGATTGACCGTTAGAACCATGTAATGAAGTATGATGTTGTCGTTGACAAGTACGATAACGTTTAGATGAGCGATAATTCTTCATAAGATGAAGACCAAGACAATTAAAACATAGATTTTTAGATATCACAAATTCTCGTCGTTGTATTGTAAATTCAAAATCTATAAACTTTAAACACATTTTAAAGTAAATTTATTCTAGACTTAATGCTCCTTAATGTATTTCTTAGTTTCTGTAAAGATCGTAGATATAAAATTTTTAATCAACCTCGTTTTGTGTGCATGTTAACTAAAGAAAGTGCAGACAAAACGACGTATCTCCAAAATGAATTGAGACATCAAAATGAGATTGGAAGCGTTTTAAAGCAAATTTAATCTAGTTTTAGTGAGCCTTTGATTATTTCTTCGCTTTCATAAGATTCGTTGTTATGATGCTTTGAACACAATTTGCATGTATAATGGTGATTGAGATAATATCGACAAAATTTAATGTAGGAAAAATCATATCTCAAAAAGTAATTGAGATATCAGCACGAACTAAAAAACATTTTGAAGTAAATTTATTCTACACTTAGTGCTCCTTAATGTATTTCTTGATTTCCATAAAAATCGTAGATATGAAATTTTTAATCAACCTCGTTTTGTATGCATATTAACTAAGCACTGTGTAAATAAAACGTGGTATCTCCAAAACGACTTGAGATATCAAAATGAGATTGGAAGCGTTTTAAAGCAAATTTAATCTAGATTTAGTGAGACGTTGATTATTTCTTCGCTTTCATAAGTTTCGTTGTTATGATGCTTTGAACACCATTTGCATGTATAAAAGTGATTGAGATAATATCGAAAAAGTTTAATGTTGAAAAAATCCTATCTCAAAAAGTAATTGAGATATCAGGACAGATTAAAAAACATTTTAAAGCAAATTTATTCTAGATTTAATGCACCTTAATGTATGTGTTGTTAGGATGCTTTTGTTATGCGTAAAATAATTAACTTTATTTAAGTAGAAAGATTGCGAATACAAAATGCTTGTCACAAAATGCGAACACGGTTGGTTCTAACTGCTTCTCGCCACGCGATGGCGTCTTCCCACTGCTACTATTCCAAGAGCAGCCAACGTAATAAAAATAAGATAAAATGTGCAATCTTAACATAAACGCCCCCCCTTTGAAAGGGTTAAGACTTTCAAAATATACAAAACCAAACGATTGATATAAGGTAAGTACAAACTGTATATTCTACTAAATTAATCAAATTGTTCCTTTTTAGTCCACAGGTAAAACACAAATCTTCGAAACACAACGCTTTACAACTGAACCACTACACAATCTCACTGACACCACTCTCACCACTCCATCTGCTCCAGGATGCGTTGTCACTATTCTTCCAAGTGTCCACTGAAGGGGTGGTAGGTTGTCCTCTTTTAGTAGTACCATACTTCCAATATCGATTAATCTTGAACAATTTTTCTTCCATTTCAAGCGTTGCTGTAGCTCTCCAAATTTTTGCTAAATGTAAACATGCACATAATTCCAATCTAGGAATAGTGGTTATTTTCAGTGGTGCAACTTTTGATTTTGTACAAAGTAATTTAGTGTTTACGTAATCACTAAAACTTGAATTTTTTGTTTACATTCTCTAATACAAATCTAGGAATTTCAATATTCTCAATAGCCTTTAATGTAGTACAAAATCCTACCCAATCTGAATAAATTTCCATGGGAAGTGATTAATCCCAAGTAACCTTTGCTTCCCATAATTTCTGAAGGAGTATTTGGGTTTTGACTGTAATAGGACTAAGTAGACCAAGAGGATCGAATATTTGACCAATGCTAGATAATATCGTTCTCTTATTTATAGTGCTTAAGTTTTATTTAGTAGGATAAATTCTGGTCAAAACAGACCTAGTGTTTTCGTAACTTGATCGTTTCCCAAAGAAATAATATTTGACGTGGAATCCAAGGTATGTATATCACTAAACCTTTTCATCATGTAGCTATTCCATTTTGCCAATTCGAAACCGTAAGATCTTAAAATGTTGGCAAACCTTTGTGGCTCCTACTACAGAATCGAAACCTGCTTCTTCTGGTTTGTTTATCTTAATCATATGACCTAAGTTTTCGTACTCAACCATGAACTGGTTGTTGTAACTTTTCTAAGAGAAGCATCTCCATTTAGTTTACGTTCTAAATTAGTAAATCTATTTAAAGCCATGTTGTAAGAATTACCTAGTTTGTCTAAAGAATTCTTGAATGGAATTTTAACGACGAATCGTCCATTTTTATTGCGAATCGTAGTGTCAATGTAGTGCTGTTCGCAAAATTGTTGTATTTTGTGTATGTATTTTGAACATGATGAAAAAAGAAATGTAAGAAATAATATATTAAAAAATATATAAATGTAAGGCTGTATAGCAGTTAAAACTAGAACTAACTCTAGACCTAGAACTAAAAAGTTTCGGGTTTAGCCGTGTGTCTTCAGACGCACGGCTAAACCGAATGATTCTAGTTCTAGCTCTTGCGTTAGTTCTAGTGATAGTGCTAATGTAAAACTAGACTAACACAAGACCTAGAACTAGAATCATTCGGGTTTAGCCGTCTTGAAAGACGCACGGTTAAACCCGAATGTTTCTAGTTCTCGGTCTAGTGTGAGTCTAGTTTTACATTAGCACTATCACTAGAACTAACGCAAGAGCTAGAACTAGAATCATTCGGGTTTAGCAGTCTTGAGAGACGTGCGGCTAAACCCGAATGTTTCTAGTTGTAGGTCTAGTGTTAGTTCTACTTTTATTTCAGTAAAAATAGACAACAATTTAGCACTTAATATCAATTAGAACTAAAACCAACACTAGACCTAGAACTAGAAAGTGAAGACGAACAGCTAAACCCGATATTTTCTAGTTCTAGTTAGTGAATCTAGTTACTACCTAATTCAAGATGCACAGAAATGTTTAAGGATCAACAGATCCTGGGGAAAGAGGGGAGAATTCTTAAAATGAACGAGATTCTGTACGAACCGGACATCTTGCAAGCAAAGGTGGAGGAGGTAATAGCATACTTAAAAAAAGGAAAATTTCCAGAATACAACAATATAATACTCCTTTTTTTTACTCCTAACTTTTGCAAAATCTGAATCAACATGGTCCAAGGATTGGTCTGCCTTTACTTTAATTCCTATACATAAGAAGGGTGCAACTATCGTACCATTTCCTTGATTTCGTACCCGACTAAGATTCTGCTCCGAATTATTAATCTAGAAGTGTTTTGCTGAAGTTCAGCGACTTTTAAAATATTTTGCAAAAGCGCATAACCAATTTGTGCCGAAACCCAACCTCACCCTTATTTCTAAAAAATCTCGGTAACCTCATTATCCATAAAAAAACTTGATATTTTATAAGATTTTCATTTTATACAGAATCACTCCAATATTTCAAAGCATCTTTAATTCTAGAATGTCTAAATCCAACCATATAAGCGTCAATGTCTCAACCAGATCAGATTTTATTGCATACTGTAATCTCACCTGTACAGTATAGAGGTTACAACTCCGAGATGAGTTAAGAAAATATGAGAAATAGTGTATTTCGAGATCATTACTAAAAGTAATAAGATGAAAAAGCCTTGCTTTAGACCATACCTTATTATAAAAGTAGATAACATCATTGATGTTCAAACTCGACGAGGAATATAAACTTATCATACTAGAAGTATCGTACTTGAACTCGGAATTGTTCCAGATCCTGCTAGACCACCAGCCAGCGCTGACGTAAAAACAACGTCACTGCACAGACCTCCATTTATCTTGCACAATTGATATCAAACATCAGAAAACAAAGAGTCACACTAAACTTCATTGGATCAATAGTCAAAGAAGAAGACAACTTAGACGCAGAAGACACTAGGTTTTGATGGATTTTTACAATTTTTGGGTTGAACAGTGTTTCTGATCAACTTAATTTGAATTGCAATGCGTCCCTTGTTATTAAAATCAGCAAATAAGGAAAGAAAATATATTTTTTTCATTTTTCTGGAAACCAGGTTTTGCAGGATTTTTTTGTAAGATTAGGGTTGAACAAAATTTCTGATCAGTTTAATTTAGGTTTTATAGTATTCCTTATTATTTAGAACAGCAAATCAGGAAACAAAACATTTCTGTCAATTTGTAATTCTCTGGAAACTAGGTTTTGCTGATTTTTTTGCAAGATTCGGGTTGAGAAGGATATCCGATCAATTTAATTTGGATCGCATCGCATTCATAGAACTAGTTAACATAGTTCTAGTGTTAGTTCTAGTTTTTCTAGACCTTGAGTGTTTCTAGGTCTAGAAAGTATCTCCAAAATGAATTGAGATATCAAAATGAGATTGGATGCGTTTTAAAGCAAATTTAATTTAGTTTTAGTGCGCCGTTGATTATTTCTTCGCTTTTATAAGTTTCGTTGTTATGATGCTTTGAAAACAATTTGCATGTATAATAGTATTTGAGATAATATCGAAAAAGTTTAATGTAGAAAAATCCTATCGTAAAAAGTAATTGAGATATCAGCACGAACTAAAAAACATTTTAAAGCAAATTTATTCCAGATTTAATGCTCCTTAATGTATTTCTTAATTTCCGTAAAAATCGTAGTTATGAACTTTTTAATCAACCTCGTTCTGTGTGAATTTTGTTGTAAATAAAAAATCGTATCTCCAAAATTAATTAAGACATCAAAATGAGATTGGAAACATTTTAAAGCATATTTAATCTAGTTTTAGTACACGTGTCATTATTTCTTGGCTTTTCTAAGTTTCGTCGTTATGATACTTTAAACACAATTTGAAATTTTAATTAATTAAGTTTAGTCTTCGTTTTCATTAATCTCCGTTTTTCATTCATCTTTCTATTTTAATTTTTCGTTAGAATTGGTCGTTAATCTTATTGCCTAATTTTTATTTTAAAAGATCTAAACAGTTTCTGAAGTAAACGATCTGATTAATTTAGTTTATGTAACCTTGGATAGTGCTGAAAAAAACTGAGGATTAACAAACCACACCCGAAGGTCTCTTTCAACTTATTTTTATATTCGTAAACCAACGAAAAGTATAAAAGCTGCCGAAAAAAACTTAACAACTCGTGTGTTGAGTTCTGGTGCTATAAGGTAAGATTGTTTTTATTAAAAATACAAAATTAATTTAATTTTTTAACAGATGAAGATCTCAATATTAATTCTGTTACTATCACTGATATATTTGGCATGGGGACATGGAAATTGTGGCGGATGTAGTAACAATTGTTCAAGATGCGTACAAACATGTTCGGATTGTGATTGTGAATGTGAAGAGTCAAATTGTGGTGATGATTGTAACAAAGAAACAATTAAAAATAATACGGTTATAATCAATTCCGATTCGACATCATCATCCAATTCAAATCTTCGATTGACCCTTGATAATATTGTTACTGTTAATAACACCATTGAAAATCCCATTAATGTTACAACCATTAATAAAAATAACATAAAATTACATCCATCTAGTTCTACCAAGAATGGTGGAAAATCTGAACGTTTAGTTGTTCCCGTTCCTGTTCCTGAACCTGTTTATATTCCTCATCCTGTATATATTAATAAACCTGTTCCGGTACCACAACCTCATCCTGTGTATGTACCTTATCCCGTTCGAGAAAAAGTACCCGTTCCTGTTCCTCATCCCTTACCTATTCCTGTACCACATCCTAGACCATATCCTATTCCGATTCATCATTTTGTTCCTGTGGACCGTCCTGTTCCGCAACCAATTCCATTTCCTCATCCAGTACCTCAACCAGTTCCAGTTCCTCAACCGATTCCGGTTCCTCATCCTGTACCTCAACCGGTCCCAGTTCCGCAACCGGTTCCAGTTCCTCAACCGATTCCAGTTCCTCATCCACTCCCGCAACCCGTTCCAGTACCTCACCCATATCCAGTTCCACAAATACGACCATACCCTGTATATGTTCATCTTCCAAATAGTAAGTTTAATTGGATATTATTTATAATTTTGTTTATTTATAACATAAATTTTTTTTTGCAGATTGTCTTAATTGCCACCACAGGATGCCATGTTTTAATGGTTGTCAAAACTGTAAATAATTTCTTAAAATTATTTATTTGGGATATTAATTTCTTTGTTCTGTTGCAGTTTGTTCCAACACATGTCAACCATGGATGCCATGTTACCACCAATGCCGACATAATTTATTTCAGACAAGATGAATTCAACGCGTTTATAAACAAAGATTGTTTTTGTAAACAGATTAAAAATAAATATAACTACTAAAATAACTGTTTTTCTTTCACTCTAACATTAAAATTTACCTTTATGGTTCTTCACCTTGTTTTTTTATTAATAACTAAGTAACTAGGCAAAATGTTTTCAAAGTGACATCAGTAAGTACTACTCAATTTGATGAAGGAGAAATCATACATACTTTACCACATCATCACAAATATGCAAATGTTCGATTTTAGGATAATGTGTGGGTAGACTAAAAATGTGATAAAATAGGAAAAGAAAAGAATGAAGAGTCGTTCTGAACTTGCCCCAATTCGCCGTAAAATTTCAAAGTTTCTATGAAAACTGCAAATATCAAAATAATTTCTGGTTGTAGATATCTCGCCACCTGTATTCGGCTGTAGAAGGAAAGGTCTCACCCTGAGTAACAAGATAAATCGCTCAATGAAAAGCTTTCCACGATTCAATCAGTTTCAGATTCAAAATATACCAAGTTTATTTTCTACAGCTATATGATTTCTGTTTTGCCCGATAGCCGCTTCATCAATCATTCCATTAGATAGGAATCAAAATGTTTTTTGACAACATCTCAATGCAAAGTTGAGCCATAATTCCAATCTTGACTGGATGTCTGAGTTTACCCTCAACCGCCGAAATTACTGTCTATATAATCTTACTAGTTAATTGGTTGATCTTTTCTCTCTTTTCTTTTGCTCTCAGATGCATCAATGTAGAGATATACGAAATTAGAAGAATTCGTAGTTTCTCAAGTTGCTCATGGAAAAAGTCGGAATTCTGAGTATGATACTGAAAAACTTTTAGAACAAATGTTGTAGCAAATTTTACCCTAAACACATTGCTCTGTACCACTTTTGCTCTCAGATGCATCAATGTAGAGATATATGAAAATTAGAAGAATTCGTAGTTTCTTAAGTTGCTAATGGAAAAAATCGGAATTCCAAGAATGATACAGAAAAACTTTTAGAACAAAAGTTGAAGCATGTTTTACCCTAAACACATTGTACTATAACATTTTGGAGACGACCCACCTCTCCTAAAAACTCATGAAAATCGCTAGATTTAGTCGTATATCTGTCTTCTATATCAGTATTCTAATATCATTTTTGTATTACCTCACCCACTGCCAATCTTTACAGGAGGATATTGGACCGAGTAGGATACCAGCCTTTTCAGTCGCTTGCTAAGAAGCATCGTTGAAGAAAGTTTCAGTAGCTTCAAGAATTGTTGGATCCACAGCATTGGTCTAAGACTTTCCAATCGAACAGTAAGCAGAATTGTGTATAAACCTAGAATATTCAAAGAATCCAAGCAAAAACCCTGGAAATTATACAACTCAAGGTAATTTCTGCATTTATAGTTATGAATCAGAGATAAAGCTGTTTACATTGAAGTTGGTTTTGCGATGCTATGAAGATTCAAAAGCTGGTACTTAAAAGAAAGTAAAATGAAGATTTCTCAAACCTAGTGACATATAGACCGATATGTTGACATATTATTATTTAACAAGGAATTAAGGTCTGACATATTAAATTCTGCGAGAAAAGCAAGAGTAGAAAGTATCTGCCCGCAAACCCTGAAGTTAGACACCAAGTAAAAACATCTCTGAAAAATATAATAAAAATATTTGAGAGTCTCAATGGCAACCCTCTACCGCCTAAATGTTATTTACAGCAGCAAAACTGCAACCACCATATATCAATCTTGAGTTACATTTTAAAAATATTCTGGATCAAGTTACAATTAAAGCAATGTTTTAAAGAAAAACTTACAAATTTTGATAATAATCCGTTTGTTTAAAAAAATCATTTGAGCTTTATTTTTCAAGTTTCAGAAATAATTTCAGTACTAAATTAAAGCTTAAAGCACGGTCAAATCGTCCGCAGTAAAGTTACAACTAACGTCATGTTTTAACCAAAATCCCATAAATTATAATAAAAATTTGTTGATTTCAAAGAATCACCTCAGCTTCATTTTTGAAGTGTACTAGCTAATTTACTAATGCTTAAAGTCCACTCTTTAAAACGCTATATACCAATCGTAAGCTATACTTTAAAATACCTAGTCCTGAATAAACTAACAACAAAAGGGATGTTTTAAATAATGCCTACAAATTTTGATAAAAATCGGTTGATTTTAAAAAATTGTTTGAGATTTATTTTTCAATTTCAAGTTTTAAAAATAATTTGCATACGAAATTAAAGCTTACAGTAAACTCTTTAAGATACGTAAAAATTAAACTAAAACTAGAATTAACACTAGCACTATCACTACATACTAACACTAGACCTAGAACTAGAAATTCGTAGAAGAAAAGCAACGATTTGCCAACCGAAACAGTCGTCATCAACCGATCAAGCGTCCCATTAACAGTGAAGGAATCTAAAGTACTCGCCAAAGGCTTAAATTATGCAGTCGCTCCAAAGAGGGTTCCCAAAGAAGAAATTATATGTGAAGTGGAAGCGGCTGTTCGCAGAATACCTGCAGTGAAAGCAGAAGAAATTCGTTAAGACATACCGAGAGTGCTTGAAACAGCAAAGCCACCAAAATCAAACATAACAGTGAACGAAAGAAGAGCACTACGAACGATAAAGGAAAAACAAACATGCGACCGTGGTTATGGACAGAAAGGAATACGATAAGATCAGGAGCCTTTCGGACCCAGCTACCTATAAGAAGATAAAAAAGGACCCAATCGAGAAGATAGAAAAATCCACAGCAGAACAGAAAAGCTTATTCGTACAGGCTCCAGTACCACCAAGGATATATGGATTACCCAAAATCCATAAAACAAGGGTTCTCACTACGCCCTATTATCAGTGCCATAAATTCTCCCACCTATCAGCTAGAAAAACACCATGCCAAGATTCTGTCTCCTTTTACAGGTAAAACAGAGTCATATCGTCGTTAATATCACAAACTGACGTATCTCAAAAAAATCGATTTTTTAAATAAGACTATAAGTACACTTCTGTAGGCATAGATTTTCCTTTCAAAAAGCGGCGTACGTAAATTTGCAGTGGTATTGGAGATACAGGAAAGCTTAGGCGCGACGTATTGGAAGTTCTTGAACTCAGCTGTTTCACAAACTGGCAAAAAAAATTCTTTAGAGCTTACTGACGTATCTAAACTATGGAAGTTCAGACAAGTCAATTCATGCACATGCGCATGAATGTGGAGTCTGCCAGTGTGTACTTATACTCGGTGGGATGAGTTTATCCAAAATGGATGTCTTAGGTTTGTGGAAGGACGGCTCAAAAAATGTTGTTGCATCGAAAGAATTGATGTTTCGTGGTTACCTTAAAAAAGGAACCAAAGTAAAAATGTTTTACAACAAGAAGTGGTATAGTGGCAAAGTGATTGATACAGAATCCGTTGACGCGAGTGATTCTCCTGAGGACGATGCTATAACTCACTTAGAATCCAGGGTAGTTAATCGATGTGGGGACAAGTACCTTTTGCTCGGATTATCTGTAAGTTTAAATGTTACCCACCATGGAGAAAAGTAAATTAAGAATGTGCCCGGTATTTCAGTGCAAAACAAAGTGGATCCTCAATCGGTGGAACAAGCACAGCAGGAATTAGAGAAGCGAGAGCATAGACCAACAGAGCAAGAACCAAAAGATCAAGAATCGGCAGCACAGGAACAAGCACAACAAACATCAGAGGAATGGGAACAAGCACGGCAAGAACCAACAGAAGAGGAATATGATAGTTGCATTCAATTTGGTGACAAATGATATGAAGCAAAAGAAAACCATAACCCGGAACAACATGCAGTAGAGGGAGTTGAAAGAGAAGGACTTGAATGCTTTGGAATGCAAAGACTTTAAGAAATTTAAGGAAGGAGTACTCAACGGTGAAGGAAGGGAAACTTGTACCTTGTAGGAGAATGAAACCACGATGTAACAGCACCATTTGCAAGAAGTTGGGAAGGCTTTGTTCAACAATAGAAAAGGCGTAAAGACTTGAATTGTTTACTGAGTATTATAAACTGCCAGACATAAATCGAAAACGAGAATTTATTGTGAGAAACACGCAAGTTACTGACACAAAGCAGAAAACGACGAAATGTGTGGATTCCCGTAGAAAAAAGACAGTTAAATATTATTTCCTGATAAACCAAACTCGTGTTCCTGTCTGCAAGAAGTTTTTTTTAATACTTTAGATATTTCAAAACGGACAGTGAGAACAGCCTTAGAGAAAGTGGACGAGGTTGGAATTGTTGAAATGGATAAAAGAGGTGGACGGAAATCTGAAAGCATTATTGCAAGGGATCAACTGATTCGTTCTGATGTTTTGCGACACATTAACATGTTTCCTAGAATGGAGTCCCACTACTGTAGAAGCAGCTCTACTAGGGAATATTTACATCCAGAACTATCTATTTCGAAAATGTACTATCTGTACTTGCGGTCTGTGCCTGAAGGTAATCCTAAAGCAAGCTTTTCTACTTATCAAAGGGTCTTTAAAACTCAGAATTTATCATTTCATACTCCCAAGAAAGATCAATGCTCACTTTGTTTGACGTATAAAACGGGTGAAGCTAGTGTGAAAACTTAATTAGAAGAAAAATTTCAAAGGCACAATTTGGAAAAAACTATTGTCAGAGAGTTGAAAGACCAGTGTAAAGCGAGAGCTACTGAAGATAACACTTTTCTCTGTGCATCTTTTGATTTACAGCAGGTAATTTACTTACCAATTTCAAAGGAAAGTGCATT